GTGCTTTAGAAGAGACATTTCTCTACAAAGAAACAGTGGACAGAAGCAACACAATCTACATATTTTAAAGGCCATATGTGAGGCTTATAAGAGCACAAATTGTTAGTCTGCTCCAATACTTCAATTAGTTTCATCTAATGAATATTGGAGAACTGACAAAGCCTGAGGTCTTGTGAACCTAAATATCTCTGGCTAGGAGGGGTCCCTGTCTGGCTAACTGGAAGAGGAGCTCTGTGGGAAGTCAACATCTACACCTGGTTACAGTGGCATTTTAAGAGGACTCAATTTCTCTTTAGATCACAGTCAAAAGAAGGTAGGATTTGCACAGCCTGAAGCTATCCCAGATTGCCTTCCTTGACCAGATAGTTCTCCCCTTCACAGATACTGTATCTGCATGACTATACAGTATGATTGTGCATGAGGGTGAGTAATACTGATTCACAGAGGTTTGAAATAATACCACTGCAATTTTAGGAGATTTAGCAATAGATTATTGTGCAAAATATAAGCAACATTTGCTTTTGACAAGAAAAGCTGAGTTATTTATGCCAGGGTCAAGTCTCTAATCAAACTGAGAATTCATTTAATTTCACAATATTCATTTTAGATGTAATATTTTAGACAACCAAGCATAGTACAGAACATTGTCCTGAAATTAATTTAACAGAAGAAAACCATACATATAATATAAATATTAGGTTGGAAAAAATATCAAACTAAACATAAACTAAAGCTACTAATTTGTAGTTGTCTTATAATCAATTTGTTCTGGCCTTTAACACCAAATGCCATGGAAATCATTTTTAAAATGGAAAATGAGAGTTGCAATAATGCTCTTTAGATACTGTGTGGCTTTTTTTTTTTGCACAGCTGACAGCACAACCTTTACAGATGTCTGAGTGCACACAGAATAAGCCTCCCTGACGCTAAGGTCCATGCATCTTGTCAAAAATCTGAACTTAATGGTCTTCATTTAAATAAACTGTAGAAAAATATATTAAAATTTTATGCCCTGATGAAGAGGGAGCTGACCAAACACAACATGAACGTCAGTGGAGATGATGATGAGAGAACATGAACTGTCATGCAATACCCACAGCAATAACTATGACAGATTAAGAGTCTATCATTACAGTCTGAAATGGCATACTGGCATAGATCCTCTTACTACGACCTTATATCATGAATGTAAATCATTTGACTTATTACATTCCCAGAGGTCACTGTGAAATACTGTAGGTCAAAACAGTTGGCTGAAAACGAAGGGCTTCTCAAGAAAGGATTCAAGAACCACTCTTTGTATCAGATAATAATGTAAATTAGACAGTCTAAAGCCATGTACACTGTCGGCTGTAACAGGAAACAAACTGTTGTATCCCATGTCTAAGTCCAAAATTATGTTATCCCTCACGGACACCCTACCTCCCTGACATTTGTCTTTGGACTTCATGGCTCTACAGCAACATCACAGTACTTCCTAACTTACTCCTGACAGACAATAGACAGAACTTCTATAACCATTAGAAGGCTTTTAACATACTTTTTTTTTGCCTTTGATCATGTTGGACATTTCATGTTGTTTGTATGGTATTATTTCACTATATTTTTGCATTTTGTTCTAGCATTTAATGTCCTTATTGCTATTTAAAATTTTTAGAGAGACCAATATCACTGTGCATTTTTATGTAATGTAATGTATGTTGTGTACAGTGGACAACAATTTACAACACAGTAAAGTAGGTCATGTATTGTTTTGTAGTAGCAATTGCTGTTAAAATCAGTACTTCAATTCAAAGAAAAATATCAAAACCAGACAGTTCATGAAAGCATATAGAAAGCCCTGACTGTTTCATCAAGAGTTAATGCCTTGGCGAGGATCAGTGGCCATGCTACTTTGTAGGAGAGCCATTCCCTGGACCCAAAGGCCATTTAGAGTGAAATCTGATGGCTTCAGTCTGTCTTGGCTCTTCCAGAAACCTGATGCACATGGGCACAACAGACACATCTGTATGGATTACTCCTGCAAAGCCAATCAAGTAACAAACACTCTGCCAATATTCCCTCCAGATGAGGCCTGAGGGTTGAGATGAAAGAGAAAGAGCAGAGAGGGATTGTTGATTAACCTTTGTAGTCAGTAGTAAATCTGTACACACAAGAAAAGAGAAACTGAGGTGCCCACGCTGGACTCATACTTGTCTGCCATTGCAATCTCAAATGGATTCTTGTCAACACCAGCTGTCTTTTAAATACAGTGTGTTGGAGCAGGTTGTAAGCAGGTTGGTTGGTTTTTCACCTGTTATTGCTCTCTCTGTCATATGTTGCAATGACCAAGACAAGGGGTATAAAGGAACATGTATTTGTATTGGACTTTCAGTACAGTGCAGCTGTAATCTTTAATAGTAATTGACAGTTGTAATGTTTTGCGTTTTTTTTAAAAATCTGTGTTCCCACACAAATGTATTAAGTGGTGGACTGGAGTGCTATAAGCACCACACTTAGTTTAGCCAAGCCTACGGCTAGCCAATGTCATGACCAGTGCAAAGAAGAAGCCAGAGCTAGAAGACCGTTCTCTTGTCTTATTACCCCTGCCAAGGGCGGTGGTAATCTTTTTGCTGGAGCTGGTTGGTTTGTTTGTTTGTTTTTAACAGTTTAAGCCCTGCGCCTGTTTTGGGGATTTAAATCGACGGCGACTCCCCAAAATAAAATGTGTATATCTCCACAACAACATGGTGTATTTGGTTACTCTCAGTGTCAAACGAAAGGGAACACTTGTGAGATTTGTCAGGAGGTGTAAATACCTTTCGATGTTTTGTTGTTGAAGAGTAAATAAAGATGGAACAGCCAGGGCTGATGCTCTCCTCATTTGCAAGTCAATAGCTTGGTCCCAGATTTCCGCATACAGACAAATGACCCCTCATTGGATTCCTCTCGACCTATAGAATGAGGCTATTGAGTTTCTGGCCTTATTGACAGCATCATGGACCAATGGCAGTCGAGAAGACCGCACCATGCACCATGGGGGGAGGGGGTTTTTTGGCCAGCACCAATGTAAACCTGTTTCTATCCAGCCAGAACCCCCCTAACTTAGAAATAATGGTATTTTCCAAACCGACGCCATTTTGTGAGTCAGGAAATGCAGTGTTTGCATCGGAAAAACTTATTTTTCTGCATAAAAACATCAAAGGTAAGATGAGAAATTTCGCTGTACTGGTCCCTGGTTTACCCCTAAACCAACAAGTGAATGTCTGTCATGCCTTAACAACGTTCAGACTAAGATATCAGTGTCATTCCAAATGCCAGCAGTTGGTTTCCATGGTCAAGCAATCATATTATGAGGGGCAAACTAGAAAGTCACTTTCGGCTTTTCCCGTTTAGGGGTCGCCACAGCAAATCGTCACACTGACGAATCGCATGTTGACATTTGGCACGTGTTTTACACCAGATGCCCTTCCTGACGCAAACTATCATAGGGATATTGCTTTTATGGCATTAAGGGGAAAGTGAGTTGCTCCTTGGCAGAGGTTTGCACTCTCTGATTACTGACTAGTTTGTTTATGGTTTGTTGCACTC